AAAAAAAAAAAAAAAAAAATCAAATTAAAAAAAAGAGTCTTTTTGGAGCTCTCTAATCTGGATGGATCTAAAAGTGTCACATCCAAGACCTTTCCAGCTGCAGCGTCTGCCTTGAATACCCCTCTCCCTGCCCCTTCACTTTAATGAACTGCTAGGAGAGTCTAAACTTTCGGACCTACCTCTTCTTATCATCATCATTATTATTATTATTATCATCACATTCTTTTTTTTTTGTTTTGGTGGGGGGTGGTCTTTGGGATTGGTCTCTCAAGTGATCTGGATTGCTTTTAATATGTCAAAATGGGTCTGCTGACACCACTCCTGCTCTTTGGATGTATCTCTTTCCAAGTTCATGGTAAGTGTGCCTAGTTGGTTGTTTGGTTTTTTTGTTTGTTTGTTTTATCCTCCTCTGTCATCTCTTTGCAGCATTTCTCTTCATCTGACTCTGATTTGGGACAGCACATGGAGGATATTAGGAAGCTTTCATGGGATGGGATCCACATCAAGTTTTGTTTCTGCTAAAGAAATGGCATTAAGGGAAAAAAGGGAGTTGGGATGGCAGGGGGAAGGGGTAGAGGGGGGTTATGCATGTTTCTGATAAGCAGCCCTTCCTATTTGCCAACTGAATGGAAAAGTAGTTTATGAATGGGGAAAATGTCAAGCTAAAAGAAAGGAATGAGAAACCCCCCCCCATAAGAGTGAGGAATCTTTCAGAGATGCCAACCTGGATCTGTGGATGTTTTTGCCTGCTTCTATTGTTAAACTTTTTGGTAACCACTGATTTTTTTTGTTTAAGAAAGGGTAGGAAGGGCTTGCTCAGATTCCAGCAAGGTGAACAGAAACTGGCAGAGCCCCTGAATGATCCCTTTGTATCTGCTGGCAGGCACGAGGAGTGGGGAAGGGTCTCAGGGGGGTGACATTTGACTGGAAATGCAGTGTCAAGGGAAGCCAACCAGAGAGGGTGGGGTGTGCAAAGGAAAGGACAGCACCAAAGCCAGGCAGGCTTGCAGAGAGAAAGCTCTTCTGGGAGTGAGCCAAAACAATAGAGATGCTGAACAGGTGCTGTAGGTGTCTCCCCCTACTTTCAGCAAGTCTGTCAAGACCAGGCTAATATCCTTAGGTGTGATGTTTTTTCAACTTCTGCTTCTGTTCCATATCCTTGGCCATTGTTGCAAGACGATCTTTGTTGTAAGACTCAGCAGCATTTTGGAGAGGGTTTCTTTTGGGATGGCTCTGCATTTGCTTGTTGCGGGGGGGGGAGGGTTGCTGCTCTGTGCGTGGCACAGTGCAGAAGGGGACACACACACGCACGCACACACCCATATCCCCTCCCCCCCAACAACCACCAGTTCTCCCACTCTGTGTGTGTGGTATGTAGTGGTACCAAACACACGCATATACACCAACCAGCTCTACCGCTCTGTGTGTGTGGTATGTAGTGGTACCAAATGTGTGGCTGTCTTATTTGGATGCATTTGGATATTAACTTTAAACAAGCTTTTTGGACTTAAGATGAATTTGCCTTCTGGGACACTAGCCATTTTTCTTGGAAACTTTGTTCCAGGAGGCTGCTGCTTGAAATCATTCCCTGTATCAGAAGCAAAGTGAGGCCTCTACATACTGTCGAATTATTGTTTGCAGACAGGGGCAGCTTGAGTATCTCTGTCCCCAACAAGACAGGAGGCAAAACACTCCCCCCCCCCTTCCTCCCCACCCAAAGCAAGCAGTAGGAGACATGCAAGTATTGCTGAACATGAGTTGTATAATGTGCTATGCAATTTACCCTTCAATCAGTATGGTCTGTTGGGAAGAAAATAAGTTTTTGTGTAATGTATGTGCATCCTAAGTACTGTACATCTTTCTGCATAGACCACTTATATCCATTAGTTACAAGTGCTATTTTTTTCTCTTTGAAACATTATGACTCACCAATTCAAGGCAACAAATATTGGAGATGTATATTCCACACGTATAGACATGGTAAACATTGGGCTGCAGAAATGTAATTATTAGTAAGTGTTTAAAATTTGTGTGTAGCTAGAAGGAATACAATTAAAGTGCTCAGTGGAAGTGACAGAGTGAATCAGAGGAGCTTGGTGTTACAGAATGTAATTAATGTACCAGGCTGTTTGGAGATATACGAAACAAATGCAATTAACAAGCTTGCTGGAATGACAGGAGCGCGACATAATTTATTCTGTTTTTGTCATGGGGAACACAACTAAAACCTTTGTTCGGATGTAGCACAGGACAAGGGAGGGAAGCAGGTGAAGCATATAAGTAATGCAGAGCTGGACCACTGAAAATTGTATTAAATTGCCAATAATAGACGGGATTTTCTCATTTCATGGGAAGATTATGTAGGGACAGTGTCAATATTGCTTACATTAGCAGGTTTAAAATACTGTTGTATAATGCCTTGTGGATAGCACATCATGACAGAGTACAGATAAGCTTTTATTGTCATGATGACTAACAAGTAGCTTTGAAGAAACGCTGGCATGCAACCTTGGCATGCTGTCACTTTTGCCCCCCATAGATGCATAGTAATTATGGGAGCAACTTAGGGTAACATGGTACCACTGGTTGCTTTGAAAATATACAGATGATCCTTTTAAAAAAAGTTTTACAAATAAATCTAAATGTAGTTGATCTGAAAAATGCCTACATGTAGGAATAGTTGATTAGTTCATTTAAAAAAAAATTATAGAGGTAAGCTAAAATGTGGGCTAACACCCACTCGTTAGCTAAATCCTTGGGCTATTTTCTCTATTTGAAGGATTGCTTTTAACATACTTAACATTATTATTTTTTTATATACTTTCTTAGCATGAATTTCAAATGGAGAGAAATATGCAGGACTGGCTGAGACATAACGGATATTCCTTCTTTTCCGTTGCTGTGACATTAGTTTTGTTCAGTGACTCACAAGTAGGGTTACACACAGTGCTAAGATAGTGGTGGTGGTGCAGATCTAGATGGTAATTTTTCTTGTAAAGTTATTTTCTGTCTCTGGGCTGTTATAGTACCTGAAAATTGCAGAGCTCCATGAAAATGGCAGAAAATGTGTGATTTTTATTGTGCTTATGATTTTCATGCAGCCCTGCCTATATCCTTTGCAGTCTGCTCAGGGAATAACTGTAATTCTGTCTTCTTTTTCTTTAGCAATCAATCTTGGGGCCAATTCTGAAAAATGAAATGTATCTTCTACCACAGTGTACATACCTCAAAATAAGCCAATTGATGTCAGGGTTAAAACTGCTGATTCCACATAATTTTCTTTCATTGGCTTATTTTTTGAAGCTTTGGTTTTTGAAGTTCGAGCTTTTTTGATGGAGATGAATGGGGGAAAAGAAACTGCAGCCACCTAGAAAAGTTCACAAACATTTGTCCACAGATATGATGATAAGCAGATGTTAAATACTAGGCAATAGTCTCAGTGGGTCTTGCTCAACCATGGTCCAACTTTCTTTGCTGTCAATGGGAATTGAAACCTTTTACACTAAATCTGAATTAAATCCATTGTCCTGTTGCAAGTGCAACACTCCAGTCTGCTTGATATTAAAAAACAACACCTTCAAGGAAAAATACTGTTTTATTTAGCATTTGTTTCCCCCACTAATATCTAATTCTGGAGCTTTTTATTTTCTTAATGAAAAATATGAATGTAAAATACAAGTCTGAATATTCTGCCCCATTTTTGCAAACTGTGCTTCCCAACAGCAGGCTAAATGTCTATGGCCTTATGCAGATCACACATATGGAAAAACAGATTACACATAAACCTAAGATGTATCCTTCCAATGGGCATGTGTGTTGACAGGGTCTTGATGTTTCATGTGGGTTTGGTTGTTGATGGGTGACCTTTGATTCAGAGGAATGTGTGCATTTTAATGCCTTAAGTGGTATTTTAGATATACAGATTGCACTTTTGTTCCCGGTAACCTCAGTTACCTTTCCTTCCTTAAGTCTTGCTTCTGCAAAGCATTGAGGCACGTGCTTCAGTCCCATTGATCGAAAGTCTCACTGAAGTTAACAAGTCTGAAGCATGTGCTTAAAGTTAATCATGTGCTCATGTTCTCAAGTCTGTAATCCCTGAATAGGAATGAATTTATGCATGTGGTGAAGTGCTTTGCTAATTTGGGGGCTTGATATGTTGCTTTTCCTACTTTGTGTCTAGGGAGGCATTATTACAGCAGTGTTGTGCATACATATGAAATAGAACATGAGAAAATGAGCCTGGGGCAGTAGCATAGGGTGTGTATATGTGAACATCTCAGTGGATCTGGCTTTTAGGAAAACTCATCTAATGCCCAATAAAAAGGTATGATGTCAAATAATTCTTTTAAAACCTCTTTCCCACCCCTGTTTAAACAGCCTTCTGGATTGTGTGTACCATTACAGCAACCCTTCCTGAAGAAGTCTTCTGCGTAGAAAACTAGGATGGTGTTGCTTCTAGAAGTCTAATTTTTGGAGTGGAACAGATAAATGGATTAATGGGTTGTAAGAGGACAAAGTGGCAGGGAGACCTTCATGAACACTACAGAAAATCTATTGAAAAAGTGAGAGGCATGAAGGGGAATTCAGGGGAGAAAGTGCAGAGTTATGGGATGGCTTTTTCAGACGCATCCAGTTAACTATGTTTCCAGGCCTTAGCATCTAGGAAGTGCTTGTCTGGAAGGTCACAGCATTGCCCAGAACATGCTTTGCCTACTGTTGAACTGTTTTACTTTAAACTACTGAAGAGAATGCTGTTTGATGCATTTTATCAATTTATTACCCTGGACTAACTATACAAATATTGATCTCTGCTAAATACATTGCTAACGGGTTCAGCACTTTCTACATTAGCCACACTAAGAGGGTCACTGCTGTCAGGTTTTATCTGTTATTTCAGCTGGTATGGGAGAGTTTGCACTTTCTTTGGCTGCCATCTGGCTCTGTACCTCCTGTACCAAACTTATAGATGCTGTTTAGACATAGTATTGATGCTTAATGGTACTCATTTCTGAATTTCTATAGGAATCTCTCTGTTTTGTGTGGAGAAGAAAGGAACTCTTCACCCTTGCCAAATAAATAAAGAAATGTTTTGTCTCCTCAAACTGAAATGTCATTTCTTGCATGTGAGCAAGTGTTTGCTGAAATACAGGATGCTTGCTCTTGCAGTTCCTACACTTGGAAATGTCTGTTGCATTCTGTTTTCATGTTGTTTCCCTTTAGCATTTACAGTGTGGAAGTATACAGAATCTAACCTTCAGTCACCAGTAAGTGGTAACATTGGGGTCTCTTTTTTCTTTTCTTTTTTTTTTTTTTTTTAAGGCCCAGTCCGGTAAACCTTAACATAGAAGAACTGTG